CTAATTTATGGCTTGCTGCTTGAACGATTGACTGACTGACGGACTGACAGACTGAGTGACTGACGAGCCAAGTTATTTGCCTGCCTGGTCGGCTGCTGCTGCCGCTGCTGCTGTTTCCATCAGGATTGCCATTTTGGGCTGGCCTGGCATTTCGCTGGCCGCCAAAATTGGTTGACAACGATGGCACGAAGCGGCGGACCAGCGATAAGTATCTTACAGATACTTTGGGCACGCATTGCCCGAGCGTGCATCTCTACAAGATGCTTATATCCATAGGCAGGCTTGCGTATAATTTGCGCCTTGCTGCCTGCTCTGCATACGAAATGAGCTGCAGATACTTTTGTATCTTGCCCAGGCGCAGCTACTTTTGTATCACTGAATACAGTTTATAAAGCAGCCCCAAATCCTTTCAAACAACATTCAAACTCAATTAAATTTATGATTTTACATAAATAACTCGAGCTGTGCTGCAGTTGCATTTGGCTGCGGCTCAACCGCAAATTAAATCCAAATTTTCAATGGGCTTCACAAGTCAAACTTGAGATACTTTTTGGTGTAGGCGGCGTCGGTGCTGACTGTGCGTGCGTGCGTGTGTGCTACTGGTTTTTAAAGTCTATTTGTGGTTATTAAATTTGATGAATAACCTGGAAAATCAAACACAATGAAACTTCAAGAGTCAAATCCAAAAAGACGCTCGAAGTTCATTAAATTCTGTAAAAATATACATAAAATATGCAAAGGCGTGCCAGGGCCAAAGAGATTATCTAGATACAAAGCGAGACAGACGGACGTGGAGTGAGGGAGAGCTAACTTTTAATATATGATAATTAATTCATTATCGATGCTGTGACGTGAGCAGACAGACAGGCAGACAGGCAGAGAGACAGCGAGGCAGCCACTCAGACAGCCAAGCACAGAGATGGCCTGCAGGACAAGACTCTTGACAAGGATTTCACTTGCAATTAAAACGAACAAGACACAAAAATTGCTGGCCAAGTTGGCTGGCTAAGCCAGGCCAGGCCAGGCTGGGTACGGGCTAAGGCCAGGACCAGGTAGCCTTCATTGATTAAAGCGCGCCTCGACATGGACTAAAAACTGATTATCTGCATATAAGCGACTAAAAATCACAGCCAAGACAACAACAGCAACAACAACGACAAAAAAAGGAGAAAAAATAATTGCCCAGAACTGTTTAACATATCAGAGCAAGAGATGAAGGCAGGCGAACTATAGTCGAGTGAGTCTTTTATAAAAATTCAACAACATGTCATTGGCAACGGCAACAGCGTCGTGCCCCAGTGCTGCATAGCATCAGGCACCTCACAGCTCCTCGCCGAGTCGCTGTCTGTGCGCCTTCCTGTGCGACTTTGACTGCACAGGACATGGACGTGGATATGTCAATGTCTGTCTGTCCCACTGTCTGTCTGGTTGTCTGGCTGGCTGGCTGGCAATGGCCTGCCCCATGGAAACTCTCTGATCCATATCGTTAAAAGTTAACGCTTTAGCGGGCCTTAACATGGCTTTTAGCGTTAATTAACAACGAATTTTGTTTGGCTTTTCTTCATTTTGTATTTGCTTTTTTTTTCTTGCTGCGAAATGCAAAATGCAACAACAGCAGCCAAACAAGTACACAGAATGTTAAGTGACAATCAGCTGATAAGCTGCCGCAACAGCAACAACAGCAACAACAACAACAACAGTAACTGCAGTGGGCAACAGGCAAACACGATAAGCCAAAAAGTTAAGTGAATATAACTGTGAATCGCACAATGTAACGCATTGCCAGTAGTCTAACAGTGAGAAGCGCAGCGAAAGGTGTCTAATGTTAGAGTTAACAGGGAAGTAACAGTGGAATAACAGTGAAGTAAAGCAAACTCTTTGATATCAATATACCAAAATAGATAAGAGGTAGAGAGATCCAGCAAGTTAACTTTAAAATAAGACTCTGACTGTTTTTCTTCTTTTTTATGTTATTTGATCTGATTTTATTTAGGCAAACTAAAAATTAACAAAAATAGTTTAAACATTTCTTAGAGATTAGATTACAGATTACAAATACATTCGTTTTATATATATCTATATACACGCACATTGCAGATACAGCAGATATTCTCGAGACTGTCATTAAGAGTTCAGAGAACGCTTAATTGATGTTATGAAAATGATATGTCCATATCTGCGCACATAACTCTAAGCTCAACTTAAACATAGACTAGACCATTAATTGAACTAAGCTATTAGCTTCAATGGAAGAGTGTACGTAACGCTATAGTATAAAGGAAGCACTTGGAAAGTGTTGAATTGCTGTAATTGCAGAACTTATGAGATAATAGTTAAAAACTTGAATAAACTATTTATCGGTATATATTATGTATATATTTATATGCTTTTTTTGGAAGGCAAGCTCTTGATTAACTTTTGAATCTCTAGGAAGCACAACTTTCGAGTTGAATTCGATATATTTATATATATGTACAAAGAACCATCTGTTTATCATTTTAGCTGTTATCGATTGCTATCGATGTATCATTCATATTCGCTTACTTAAATATTAAATCACAGTGATGAGATTTTGTTTTTTTCTGCTTTCTCCTAATCTTCTTTCGACGTTTGCCAAACAACTTTGGGTTCAGAACCGATCGCAACGTCTGCAACAGCCAATGGAAGACACCCGATACATTTATCGATCTACGTTTTATCTGGGCGGGCAGAAGCTGAAGTAGGGAAAGAGTTGACAGTGCAGCGAATAGAAACGCTTTGGGTCCGTCTTCAGGTCGAAGCCATCCACCTTGATCACATTCCATTGATTCTTCATGTGGGCATAGCTGAAGGACACCTGATCCTGGAATGTATCGGAGCGTATAAGCTCCATGGGCTCCAAATGCGAGTGGAAATTATCGACGACAGTCAACGGCACCTTCAGCAAATGCTCTGCAAGAGAGAGACAGAGAGAGAGAGAGAGAGAGAGAGAAGCGAAAGAAGGGAAACAGTTAATATTACGCCTCAGGGTTTGCCATTGAAGGCATTGCAGCAACTTCACTCACCTATGATGAAGCCCATTGTGACGTCGTCCGGAAAGCGTATCTTGTCGCCGATGCTAATGAATTTGCCGCCACCTGCTATGGGCAGCATCTTCAGAGTCAAGGCCCGACTCAGGCAGAAGCCAGCGCCGCCTGTGGCAAACCAAAAGGTGATCTTCTTGTTGGTCGTCGTGTTCTTCTGCAAGATGGGAAGGAGACGAAGAAGGCAAAAGTTAACGGAAGAACCAAATAAATGAGCCGAGCAAAGGATAAACATAAATTAAAATAACATATTTGGCGTGGATTGTTATTGAAGTGGAAAGCGGGTATATTAGGCTAGTGAGAGAGTAGAGGTAGGTAGAGGTAGGTAAGGTCCAAGTTCTTGGCACCATGAGATGGCTTTTGTCCTATAGTTCTAGAGTCATAATGATCAGAATCCAAGCCAACAGCTGCAGTAGCTACTTTTCAAAACTTTTACAGCGTATAACGCAGTCGTTCACATTCCCTTAACTCAAATTTTTGCCAAATTGTTGTTTTTAAAAATTAAGAAACTGACCAAAAAAACCAAGAAATCCCCACTTGATTAATTGACCATGTAAATGGGACATGTGCGTTAAGGAAACTTAATACGCAGCCCAAAAGCCCGAACCAAAAGCGAAACTAAAACGAATATACGAAGATGTTTAACAGCAGCAGCAGCAGCAGCTCCTCCTGACCTAATGAAGCGTTAAGTTTTCAGTATTTTTTTTTTTTTTGTGGGCTTTCAATTAGTTTGTGGCAGGGATCAGGCTCGATTCGTCGATTCAACGATTCGTCGTGGCATGCGGCCCAGCCTACAATAAGAAGTCGGAGAGAAGAAAAAAAGAAACACTGTTTGTTGCATGCAACAGCATTCATTACGGGATCAGCTGGCTACATACATATATTTCAAATGCAACGAAATGGGAACACAGATCGAGAGAGTCAGCCAGTCAGCCAGTCAGCTAGCCCGAGAAGCCAGCGCTTGCGCTTGCGCTTGCGCTTGTCTGAGCCAGATCATATCGGTTATTAATGATAGCCTGCGCTGGCAGCTGGAAGCCAAATGGCGGCATAGACAAATGGCCACAGCCAGGCGCATAAATAATGCAGCCCGGAGAAAGGCGATCGCCGCTGCCATATACCCAGAGCTATGGACATGGCCGTAAACACAGCGTCATGTAATTATTGGTATTGGAAAATATGCAAAAAGAAGAAAAAAATAAGCTCAATGCAAAAAAAATGCAAAATAATAGCAAAGCAGTAGGCAGCCAGGCGAATGAGTATATGCGCCTCGTAGTTATGCTGTGCTATAGTATTTATAGCTGATGTTTATAGCTCCAGCTTATGCAAATGCTAGCCAACTCTTAAGGCTTACAAGTTTATGGCACTATAGGATGATATTTGAAGTCGTTTGTAGACCAAGTTTTGCTATTTCTATGAATATTACATGTATGTGGGACAGATCTTCATAAAGTGGAATAATCGAACATTTTTAGCTCGATATATATCGATAAACATTTATAGATCATATGAATAAGCAAAGTTATCGAGAGAATAAATGAACTCAGCTCTATAGCTCTACAGATCTAATAACTAGCTGGTACAACATATATAAATTTAAGGATTTTTACCAAAAATGACTCTATAGATACCGAAAACTCCCTCTCTCGACAATTCGCCCCGCATACAGGGTATACCAAGTCTGTAATGTAAACGAACATAGATTTGCACTTACGCTATCGAGATGTATTTCCAGCGGCGATGATATGCTCGGCTTGCCCAGATACCAGTCCACCGTTGGGCTGTACTCGTCCAACAGTTTCACCAAACGGGGCACATTGACATAGTTGTCATCGTCAAAGTGACAGAACCATCTGAAAGCATTACGAAATTAGTTAGTTGAGTACACAGGTTGAGCAGAGAGTAGAGAGTTTAGAATATATACAGACATACATATATCTAGCTAGACTATTTGTATTTTCAAATTGTTCATATTATTTTCACGTTTGTTGTTGCCCAAGTGATTCGAGATGCAATTGACGCTGGAGCAATTGGCGCGCATTGCGCTGGGTGTGCCAGAGATGAATCATGTGAATGTCGCCGTGCTGCACAGCCTGCTGGATACGATGATGAAGAAGTTGAATTGCAATCACGATCTGGTGACGATTGGGGGCTTCGAGGGCAAGTGCATGGAGCGTTTGCTGGAGCGCTCGAAGGTGTCGCCACTGCCATTCGATTTGGCCAGCATTGAGCCGATTTCCACAGAACTGGACAAGATGGCGGCCATGGAGAAGCGTCTGGCCCAAGTCGAGTCGAAGCTCGAGTCGCACTTCAAGCAAATACGCACCGTCAACAAGGTCAACTCGAAGAAGTACCAGAAGGAGCTGTGGGAACAGTACGCGTCGCCCTGCGAGGACCTCTGCACCGTTTGCGACGAGGATAACAAGATCGCCTGTAGCTTGCTGCAGAACATGGACTTCATGAAGAAACTGCTGCGACGCATTGCCGCGCCCATACTCGAAATGATAGAGAAACTGCAGGCGGATCTAAATCAATTCTACATCTCACTGACGGCATTTTTGAACAAGACGCAGAAACTGTTCGATCGACTCGAGCTGGTCAAGCAGTGCGTCATCGAGATTGAGAACTTGCGTGGGCTAGTCAAGGAGTACAATCTGACCTTCATTGGCACCATGGAGGAGCTGCAGGATATGCTCGACAGCAAGTTGGACAAGGTCCACATGCCGGCGCTCAAGAAATACATACGCGATCGCTTCGACAATATCGATCAGCGTTTGAGCAAGATCGAGGACAAGGACACGTGTCCGCGTGCAGCTGGATTCATTAATACGGGCATTACGTGCATCTCCTGCGGCAGCAAGAACATTGGTGTCGATGTCGGACCCTTCAACATCGGACCCTTGCCGGATGCCACACACCACGGTAAATGCCCCATTATGCCGTTGAACTGCCAAAAGAACTTTGTGCCGCGCAGCCATGACAAGGAGCCCACGCTGATGGTGCGTGTCCAGAACCTGGATCTGAATCTGATTGCCCAGCGACTGAATCGTCCCAGCACAGGGAAAGTATGCAAATTGCCCGAGGCCAATGATACCATCTATGGCATACGCAATTCCACCTATTCTGTCTAGCCCCATGAGTACCGCTCATAACTGTTTCAAGTTCATTCAAAATCGTTGCCGTTTAGTAGAGCTGACAGCCAGTTTTCTTCAACTACTCCAGCTACTCGGACTCTCCTCAGTTGCGTAAAAAAGTGCACTAATTTAAATGGTAATTACCGGTAGTCCAGCTCTTTCGGACTCACTCGACTCTGGGCGCTGCCGCTGCAGCTGCATTCGCCGCGAAAGGGGGATTAGCTGGAGTGACAAACGATCAACCATATCCGGTAGCCCGCGCAGTTCAGCTAATGATGCCATTAAAATGCAGCCGAGGCTATCGAACTGGTTCTCTACCGCACACTCACTCACGCGGAGACTGAGACAGAGACAAACAAAGATGGTGCGAGTTGAACAGAGAGAGAGAGAGAGGGAGAGAGAGAAAGAGAAGAGAAACGAGGTAACTCAGCTTGGTGATAAAGTTTGCCAGCCTAATGGAAAAATCGGTTAAGAGCATTCAAATTTCCTTTAATAACTCAACTTTTATAACGGGCTCTTACTCCAATCTACACAAGTGATTTCAAATAAATTAACTAGAGTTAATTATAAACTGAGAAAAACGAGGGTTGCGTAGCAGCTAACTGTTAAGCTATAAAATAGCTGATGGGATATGGATATGGACATAGATTATGGAACTAGGCGGAAGCTTAAGACAATAAAAATAGTAGCATATACTCGTGTTGAATGCATTTGCATATTTGAGTTGGGCATTGAATGAGACGTTCAAGAAGTCTACTTAAGAGCAATGGGTGAATCGTAGAAATACTCTTGGAAGTCCTGAATTGGGAGATGCCTCTAAGGCAGGTAAAGGGTTTTATCAATGTAGAATGTATAGGTAATATAAAGTAGATAGTTCGATGGTTAAAATATCTGCATAAGTGACCTACACATACCATAAGAATAACTCTTTACACTGCATATGAAGAAGAAAAAACTACAAGATTTGTAACACTAAAACTTAAGCTGTAGCTCCATGCAGAAAATATTTCTTCAGCCCCAACGAATATTCCCTTGAAATACTTCAAATATATCTAATAACTACTTCTATAGGGAGCTCAACTATAGCAACTATAACTTAAGAGCAGTTAACTTCAGCTTAGGTCTTCTTTCGCCTTTGTCGCACATCTTTAAACTGTCTTCGGGCTTTCTGCCTATTCAAGCAGCCAGCATTGAGCTGAATTAATCCGCCTAAAAGTATCTATAAAATCTGCAGCAATATCTTTAGGCAAACGCCTGTGGCTAAGCAGCAGCAACTTCTAGCGCTCACTCACTCTCACTCTCTCTCTCTCTCTCTCTCTCTCCCTCTCTCTCTCCCTTATGGTACGCAGTTCATAACTATTCAATAAAATCGAAGCGTTTGTTGGCGTCTGTTGGGTAATTTAATATAATTTTTTATTACATAAGCCGCAAGGGGAACTTAGGCAGGAGCAGGGGAAGGGATAGTGACAGGGGTAGACAGTTGACAGCGCGAGGTGGTTAAGGGGGGAGCCATAGAGTTTTGTGTCTTCACTTTTCTAAGCGCTGCGGCAGCTCAGCTAATCGTGGCACTCATAAATTGTTATTGTTGTTGCTGTTGCTGCTGCTGCTGCTGCTGTTGTGGCTGCCACATGCGATACCTGTGCGAAACGGCAGCCAAGTTGCTGTTGCTGTTGCTGTTGCTATTGTTGTTGTTGTCGGTTGTCGGTTGTTGTTTTCCTGTTTGTCGCTTGGCTCTGTTAGTCGCTTCGTGTCGCATAAATATGCGCTTTTAATTTCGCTTAATTATGCGTGCCACAAATAGGCATACACTTGGAGAAAAGTTGTAGCTATAAAGATATTTATCTATTCCTTATCAATCCTCAATCAGATTCTAGTGCCTACTTCTTATAGCACTTACCTTTCAGTCTATCAAATATTATCCAACTTCCATTTAAACTATCTTTTAGCTTTGTTAACTCTACCTTTTTCTGAGTGTAGCCTGTGGTAGGCTACTCTATGCCTGCTTGCCTGCCATACTTCTTCTCCCCTCCTCTGGCCTAGGTGCCCTCCTTTATATCTCTTTCTCCATCTCACAGTTGACTTAACCAAATTGAAATCTAGCTGGCATTTTATGTGTTTGCCTTTATTTAATTAACGCGTTTGTCTACGCTTTTTGTGGCTCCTATTTGGCATTTTATGAAAATATAAATGTTTTCATTTCGAGGTAGTTCGATCGCTGCCAGACAGATAGAGGGGCAGAGGGGGAGAGAGAGAAATGAATGGGGAGCAGCGATCGCTGCAGCTGGCCAGCAACGTTGGTGGCTTAAAATGCTGCCGCAGCAGCAGCGTTTGTTTGTTTGGATATTTGGGTCTGTGTTTATCTGGCATCGCATTGCAGCAGCAGCAGCAACAGCAACAGCAACAACAGCAGCAGTAGCAGCAGCTATAGGAGAGCCTGTGTCTGTGTAAACGCAAAACGAGTGCAAAAACTTTTATTCGAAGTTAGTTTATTTTTCATGGCAGTTTTCCAATTACTCGAGTTTCTGCTGTTGCCGTTGCTGCTGCTGCTGCTGCTGATATTGCTGATGTGGGCAGCAGCTGTTGCCGGGGCGTAGTCGCCATCGTCTTTTGGTCGACTGCAGTTGAAATGAGTTTATGTCTGGAGCCATAATAAAAAATGATTGACGGGGCACTTCGCGAGCCGCCAATGCAGGCAGTCTTAATAGATTTCGCATTAAGAGTGAGTCGAAGTCGCACTCACACTCGCACTCGAAATCCGACTCGACCAACAGTCTGCGTTAAAAGTATTTTGACAGGCAGCCGAGCAAAGGCGGATCGTGCCAGATAAGCGATCGCCAAACAGAAAAGAAACCAGGATGACGAACTGATTTCGTTTCGTTTGTTTTCTTTTCATGTTGCTGTTGTTGCTGTTGTTGTTGTCTGGCTTTGCAATTAGCAATAAGTCAGCTGTCAGAGCGTCAGAGAATGTATCTTACAGATACAATATACTCACACACACATATACACGTATATTTTGCGCATTGATACAAATCAATGTTTCGGTGTGCCATTCCACGGGCCTCCAAAACAAGATATTTACATTAAGCCGGGGCACTTAAATCAAACAGCACAGCTCATTAGCAACACCAACAGTTGCCGTTGGCTTGCAGTCGCTGCAGTTGCCGGCGTGACTCACAGATTTAAGACTTGCTCTCTCTCAATGCAGTTTTGACACGCTCACTGAACAATTGAAAAGACAGCGGCGACAATTGAAACGCATTTGTCAGCAACAGCAGCAGCCGAGGCAGCAATAACAGCTGGCGACGATATCGCTGGCGTCAGCAGTAACAACAACAAAAGATACAAAAATGTATCTTGTAGCTACAAGCCTGGCAAATTGACGCCAATTGTCGTGTGGGCGACGCGTAATTGAAATGTAGAGCAAGCGATTTGCCATGCAACAACAACAGCCACAGCAACAACAGCAGCAGCAGCAGCAGCAACAGCTACTACTTCTCTCTTTTTTGCTTTCCGCCGGATGCAACAGTTGCTTATGCGGCTGCTGCAACTTCATCTGCATATCCAACCAGCTCCAATTGTGCATTTCCGCTATGCACAGGAACAAGTAGACACAAATTTCAACTTCAGATTGCGACAATGTCAAGTAAATTTAGACCCGCTCCCTCCATTCCGTCCTGCCCCCTGCCCACGACTAGCTGCGCCCCTCTTTTGATTGCCTCAATTGAATAATTGTGTGGTGGTTGTTGTTGTTGCTGCTGTTGCTGTTGCTGCCACAAGTGGCAAATAAATGAAATTGATGCGTTGGGCTGCATTCCCTTTACCCCCAGTTCCAGCCCCGCGTAACTGTTGTCGCGGTTAAAAATTTTCTCACAAGCAACAACATCTGGTTTTTCACATATGCGACAAATGCTTCTGAGGTTTTTCCAAGCCGCAAAGAAAACGCATAGAGCGCAACAACACCAGCAGCAACAACAACAACAGCAATTAAAATTGTCGCAGCTCTCGCTGCAGCTAAGCCTTAGATGGATTGGTGCTGTGTGTGCATAATAATGCGACTGTTGCCGCAACTATTTCTGTTTCAACAAAACCCGCCCTGGACTATGATTTTGATGTGGGATTAGCTGCGGGCTGTGGCAGTGTGTGGAGTGAAGTGGAGTGAGAGCGAAAAAAAGGGGGAAGCATTCGACGCCTGGGAAATAACATTGATGTGCCACACTGCAAGCGACGTGCAACAAATTCCCACGCACTTTCTCAGCGACAGCGCCAGCACCAACAACAACAACAACAACACCCACCTCGAATAATGGCTGGCAAAAAAAAAATGTAATCATCTTGAAAATATGTATATGTAACGATATTACGAGCAACAGTTGCTGCTGTGAATCCTGTTTTATTTTTTTCGGGCACTTTCCATTGAGCTCCACTTTGGCAGTTGATGCCGTGAATATTACGCATAATACGTGTCGTAATTGCATGAGGGACGGGCCGACAGAGGAAACAAATTAGCAAAATAATATCAGGCCTGAAATGCCGTTATAATGCCAATAAATGTTGTTTACGAAACGTGCCACCAAATTGCTGGCACAACAATTACAGATACAAGTTCAGAAATACAAATAAAGATATGAAGGGAGAAGATACAGATGCATTGGGTGAGATGGGTGAGATACAATTGAATTGCTTGAGATACATATAGAAGAGATGCTTAGGAAGATGGAAGAGGAACTGATGAAGATAGGAATATCGATACGCATATAGATTTATAAATGGATTTCCAGAGATACAAAGACAAAGATACATATAGAGATGGTGATACAAATAGAGCTGTAGATACAACTATAAAGATACAAACCCAGCTCTAGCTGAACTCAATTGTAGACTTTCAGACACAGCTATATCTGTAGATATATGTACATGCAGCCGTCAAGATACAAATGCATAGGCACAGATACAGATATATGGCACTATCTAAATGCGTCATGGCAAGGGCATGCGCCCCGTTTCGTAAATCAGAGATACAAGATACATTCGCACAATATTGGCTAGTCGAAACGCGACATTTGTTTATTAGGTGTGGCCGCCATACGGCACGACCAAACACACCCAAACAGGCACACACACACACACACACAGGCATACACACACCCAGGGCGCACACACACACACACACAGCATGAGATAAATTAGAACTTGAAACAAATAAATTGAAAAATAAAAAGTTGAAAGCAGGAAAAAAAAAGAACAGCAACAACAACAAGCAAACAATTTAAAGCGTGCATTTGATTGGCGCTTTACACAAAAAACAACAAAAGGTGCGAGTATGAGGTGTAGCCGACCAGAAGATACCCTGTACGGTGATACCCAGAGCTGAGCTGATCACGAAAAGCTCAGCGATCAGGGCTTAGTATATGTTTTCCATTCTTCAAATACACTTTTGCTCTTGGGTTACTTGACGTTTTGCTTCTTCTCTTCTTTTTATTCAATAATTGTACTTATCTTCAAGTATAGTTCTCTCTGTACTCTCTTAAATTTTCCAAATATTTCTATTTCTTCTACTTATAGAAGACTTCT